CCATATTCTAGCTAAAAGGCAAACCACGATAACAGCATTCAGCCACTTGATTTGTTTTTGGAAAAGGCTGTAGTTAAGGCAGTTATCCACTAAGTGGCATTATGAACTCAAGCACATCAATTTGACAAACAATCTTAGCACGGTGCATTTTTCTTCCTACAAATGCATTGAAGGAAAAATATCTTTGAGTGTTTTGTTTGATTCAAATATCCCAGAAATATAGGCATCACTTCAAATAATAAGATTTATTAGTAAGCTAGAACTTATAATATTCTCTTCACATGAAGTCATTTGCAAATATGTAACACAAGGGTTAGGTTGGAAATAAAAGTGTTATAACAGAAAGGCATATTAAACAATGCAATCAAAATGTTGGAAAAATATGAATTTAAAAAAATCAAAAAGTGTCTGAGGTTTCAGAAATGCTGTAAACCAGCAGATCTTGTATTTCCTGTTGCAAAGTGTTCAAGCACCAAAATCACCAGGTGCTTTAGATATGTTACCTCAGGTAACACATTATAAATAAAGGAATAAATAAATTTAATAGGCTTAGATTAAATAGGCTTAAATTAAATCTAGATGATACTAAAAATTAGCCCTTCATTGGAAAACCAAGAAATATATCTCACTTCAATGATTGTTTAGAATTTAATTTTTATAATGATATTTAAAGATGATTAAAGTAAATCTACTTATCTTCAAAAATATTTACTAGACAAAAGCACTAAGAGAAGGTATAATACAACAAAAGTGTATTAGAGTAGAACTCTAAAAATAAGTTTGTTCTAATCCTATTGTTTGTCCCTCTTTTTTAGCACTGTTACTTTGTACATACATAAACAGCTACTGAAAATAATGTTTAAAAAGTCACTGCCACTGTTTAAGAGAGTATGAGAAAGTAAAATAAAGCAACTACTTCTAAGTCTACATTTGGGACTTCAAAGCATGTATCTTAAGCTTGTGAAGTGTCCTACACATGCGCTCAAAATTCTGTGCATACTTCAACGCTAGAAGGACAAGACATTCTCTTCTTTTGAGAGAGTGTTTTTTTGGATATTTTTCCTCACTGGTCACAGAGGAATTGCATTAGGAC